CTCCCCCCTCTGCCTGGACATCAAGGTCCTGCTCTACAATTCAACGCTTAAGCCAGTCTGGACCTACGGCTCCCAATTGTGGGGAAACGCGAGCAGCAGTAACATCGACATTATTCAGCGAGCACAATCAAAAATCCTGAGAACTGTCACTGGGGCACCTTGGTATGTTCGGAACGACAACATCCACAGAGATCTTGGCATTCTACCCGTAAAAGATGAAATATCAAAACAATCAATCAAACAAGTCCTACCACACCGAGCTAACTTCTCATCCAAACCAGCTTGCCAGGGGCCTAGCCAGGGTTTCCAACTGGACCCGATTGCAACGCAATGACCTTCCAGCTCAGCAATTGTTATTAGAGCCCCTAAACCTCGCGCCAGTCACCTTGACTGTCAGATAGTTTTTATACCCTTGCAGAGGGTATTATAATTTTGGTCAGAAGTTTGTAACGCAGTGAAGGAGACGTTTCCGACCCTATAAAGTATATATATTCTTGATCAGGATCAATAGGGCAGTCGATATAGCCATGTCCGTCTGTCCGTCTGTTTCAATACCGTTTGCGAGCTCAGCTCAAAAGCTAGCGATCTGAAACTTTCACACTCGTCCTAAAACATGTGTACGCAGATCAAGTTTGAAAATCGCCCCGATCGGACGTCTATATCCTATAGCTCCCATAGGAACAATCGGATATATCTAGCAAGAATTGATGATATTTCGCGCAGTGTATGAGCTATTGACATGAATCTTTCCAAATCGTATTTTTTTATGCATACCTTGGTTAGGGTAAAAGCACGTGACGATCGGACGTCTATATCTTACAGCTCCCAGAGGAACAACAGGGTAAAATCGGTCAAAATTTGATGATTTTCTGAATTTTTCGCGTAGTGTGTAAGCTACTGACATAAATTTTTCCAAGTCTTATTTATTTACGCTTGATTAGGGTAAAAGCGCTTGCCGATCGGACGTCTATTTCTTATAGCTTCCGTAGGAAAAATAGTAAAAGGCTGCAAAAGTATCCCTTTTTTTCTATTTTTTTATGACATTTTTGCAGTATAAAAGCAATTGACATTAAACGATGCAAATCTAGTTTATTTATGTATACCTTATTTCTTTCGCTACTTTTTCAGTTTTAGCAATTTCGGCAAAGTCTGCAAGGGTATTAAAACTTCGGCTTGCCGAAGTTAGCTTCCGTCCTCGTTTAATTTAAGATTCTATATACTTATTGTTACTCTCAATTCAGAGAAGATTCCATAAATAAAATGCGGTTTTATTCAGCGGAGAATTTTTTAACATTGATTTGATTTTTTTTAATGTTACTTAATCTCTAGAAAATGTACGTAAAATATGCGACAACATTTTTTTGAAAAAAGTATAACTTTGTTTTTTTTTTCTTTAGAATTCGTTATGAATATATGCAATAAAATTGCGGACATCAATATCATCTAGCTCCCATAATCAATAAAAAACTTAAAAATATAAAAATGAAAAAAAATGTTATTTTCCTTTTTTTTCTATGTATCTTTGAGATTTAGTAATTTTTTACTATTTCAGAATTACGCTTTTCGTTTTGTCAAAATCGGACAACAATATCAATAGAAACGATGGCAAAATTCAGCGCAAAATCAACATAGCTTCAATGTTTTTAGTATTTTTATACCCTTGCAGAGGGTATTTTAATTTCAGTCAAAAGTTTGCAACGCAATGAAGGAGACATTTGCGAACCTATAAAGTATATATATTCTTGATCAGCATCACCAGGGGAGTCGATCTAGCCATGTCCGTCTGTCCGTCCGTCTGTCCGTCCGTCTGTCCGTCCGTCCGTTTCTACGCAAACTAGTCGCTCAGTTTTAAAGCTATCTGCTTGAAACTTTCCCAAAAGTTGTCTTTCTATTGCATTTAGTATATAAGTGGGAACGAGCCGGATCGGGCGACTATATCATATGCCTGCCATATAACTGAACGATAAAAAATGCCATAACTTGGTGTTTTCCAATCCGACCTACGAAATTTCATAAGGATCGGCCGACAATATCCTATAGCTGCCATTTAACTGAACGTTCGCAAATGCCATAACATTGGTGTTTTTAAAGTTAGGAAGTTGCGATTTTTTATTGATTTTATTTTTATCCAACCAATATAATTAAAAGAATATTCTGCAAGGGTATATCAACTTCGGCTCCGGCCGAAGTTAGCTTTCCTTTCTTGTTGAATTTGGTGTTGGTCTACTTTTTGACCTTTTTTATTTTGTAATAATTGCAAGGATATATAAACTTGGGCTTGCCGAAGTTTGCTTCCTATCTTGATTTTTATCAAACAAGAATTATTTTTTTTAAAAACTTTTTTATACCCCTTCAGAGGGTATTATAATTTCAGTCAAAAGTTTGCAACGCAGTGAAGGAGACTTTTCCTATAAAGTATGTATATTCTTGAGCAGCATCACCAGGAGAGTCGATCTACCCATGTCCATCTGTCCGTCCGTCAGTCCGTCCGTCAGTCCGTCCGTCCGTTTTTTATCTACGCAAACAAGTCCCTCAGTTTTCAAGCTATCTGCTTAAAATTTTACCAAAAGTTGTATTTCAACGAGCCGGATCAGGCGACTGTATTATATTGCTCCCATAGGAAGAATAGGAAATTTTTTTTTTAAATGTATATCTTTGTTGTTTTTAATTTTATTTGTTGTTTTTTGGGATTTGGTAATATTTAAATGCTGTGGAATTACGGTTTTAATTAAATTAAAATCGGACATTTATATTGTATAAATAAAAATAAAAATAAAAAAAAATTTTTTTTTGCTTACTTTCCTTTGAGGTATACTAATTATTTACTATATCAGAATTACGCTTTTAGTTTTGTCAAAATCGGACAACAATTGTTTTTAGTAATATAGGCATAGAAATCGATATGTAGTCGTTTTGTACTAACTGAATATATTTTAACGTGTTAGTTTATTTTGTGTCACAACCTTTACTTCATCAAAATTTGGCAATGTTAAAGTAAAATACTATAAAAATAGATTCTCCTATGATTTTTGGGAATTTTGTTGAGCCGTTCTTTGGGTTTTCAGCCTCTTTCCAACTGGTTCTAGAGCAGGCACCAGAGGTCAGGAAACAAAGGACCTACCAAATTTCATAAGGATCGGCCGACTATATCCTATATCTGCCATATATAACTGAACGATCGGAAATGCCATAACTTTGGTGTTTGTAAGGTTAGGAAGTTTCGATTTTTTATGGATTTCATTTTTGACCAATCAATCTGACATACCAAATTTCATAAGGATCGGCCGACTATATTCTATAGCTGCCATATAACTGAACGATTGGAAATGCCATAACTTTGGTGTTTTTAAAGTTAGGAAGTTCGGATTTTTTATGAGTGTTAAGAATGCATCATATATATAATTTACAGAATATTCTGCAAGGGTATTTCAACTTCGGCTCCGCCCGAAGTGTGCTTTCCTTTCTTGTTAATGTTAACGTAAATTCAATAGTTGGCTTTCTGCTTAACAATTATAAACTTAATACCAGTTATTTGTGGGGAACTCAGTATTACCGTTCCTAGACTAGGGGAACTCAGGCGTACGCCGGAAGGCCGCCAATGTAGTCCCTGCGTTAAACGCACGTCGTTTTCCGTGTCCCCGGTGTCCTTGCTTTGCTCACGGCGCGATGTCCTGGCTCTGCTGTCTGCTTACGCTTACATGACCAGGTGCAGCGGGGTCTTTGGCTCTCGGGAATCGGTCAGCTGATTTTCTAGGACTCTTGCGGTGAACGACTGTGCTCTTGTCGCATACGCCTCTCGAGACACCAGTGGTTCGGACGCGCGTCCTTCTTGACAACTTCCCTTCCGAGCCCACTGTTCTTTGCCCAGGGACTTTTTATACCCTTGCAGAGGATATTATAATTTTGGTCAAAAGTGTGCAACACAAAGGAGACATCTCCGACCCTATAAAGTATATATATTCATGATCAGGGTCGCGTCATGAGTTGATATAAGCCATGTCCGTCTGTCCGTCTGTCTGTTTCTACGCGAACTAGTCTCTCAGTTTTAAAGATATCGAATTGAAACTTTGCACACACCCTTCGTTCCTTTGCACGCAGTATATGAGTCGAAACGGCCGGGATCGGCCGACTGTATCCTATAGTCGCCGTATAACTTATTGATGCCATACCTTTGGTGCTTGTAAGGTTAGGAAGTGGCGATTTTCTGTGTTTTATTTTTATACACTTGCAGAGGGTATTATAATTTCGGTCAAAAGTGTGCAACGCGGTGAAGGAACATCTCCGAGTATATATATTCTTGATCAGGATCACCTCCTGAGTTGATATAGCCATGTCCGTTTGTCCGCCTGTCTGTTTCTACGCAAACTAGTCTCTCAGTTTTAAAGATATCGGATTGAAACTTTGCACACACCCTTCTTTCCTTTGCACGCAGTATATAAGTCGGAACGGCCGGGATCGGCCGACTATATCCTATAGCTGCCATATAACTAAACGATCGGAAATGCCATAACTTTGGTGTTTGTAAAGTTAGGAAGTTGGGGATTTTATATGGGTTTTATTTTGGCCAATCAATTCGACCTACCAAATTTCATAAGGATCGGCCGACTATATCCTATAACTGCCATATAACTAAACAATTGGAAATGCTTTGGTGTTTTTGCAGTTAGGAAGTTGGGATTTTTGTACTACTACCTGCAATAGAAAGACAACTTGTGGGAAAGTTTCAAGACTGTGGGACGGACGGACAGACAGACATGGCTTGATCGACTCTGCTGGTGATGCTGATCAAGAATATATACACTTTATAGGGTCGGAAATGTCTCCTTCACTGCGTTGCAAACTGTTGACTGAAATTATAATACCCTCTAAAAGGGTATAGTAAATGGAAGTCGAAATAAAAATATTTAGAAAGCATGTGTGTATGGCAAAATTACCATCTTTGTAAGTCTAAATGTAAGTACAATTTTTTAGCTTATTAAAAAAAACTTTGTTTTTTTCAGCGGCTAAGTAATGACCACATCTGTTACTTTTTGTACCAGATATTGCGCGGACTGAAGTACATACATTCGGCAAACGTCTTGCATCGGGACTTAAAGCCAAGCAACCTTCTATTAAATAAGACGTGCGATTTAAAAGTATGTATAAGTTTTTTTGTCATAAACCAACCACAATAATTCAAAGTTGATAAGCACAAAATTCAGGTGTGTAAATTAGACATGACAAACGTATTATTACTATGCCTATAAAAGGGTGGCCTAGAAAAACTTCATCTTAAATTCAGCTTTAAATCCATACGGTGGTGCCACATATCTTTTTCCGCGGATTTGAAATAAACCAAATAAATTCGTACCGTTCCAATGAATTTTGTTAATTATACCCATGCAAGCTGATGACTTTTTATCGGGTCAATCCGATATACGCAACTTACGCATTAAGTGGCAGCTCTTTGGATAGAATAACTCTTGTAAACGATCTTGGCGTTCTCTTGGACCCTAAACTAAAATTTTCAAACCACATTTCGTCCATGGTTAATAAAGCCAGAGGAGTGCTTGGATTTATTAAAAGGTGGTTCGATGATCCTTATTTAACTAAAACTTTATTTATTTCGTTAGTCCGTCCGATTCTGGAGTATGGGTCTCCCGTCTGGAGTCCGCAATACGGAATACATATTGGTCGTATTGAATCAGTAGAAAAAAACTTTCTTCTTTTTGCTTTACGGCGATGCAAATCTTAACTTACCTTCTTATTCTAGTAGACTTCTGTTGATTAATTTACCCACCCTAGCCAACCGTAGAACGATGCTTGGTACTGTCTTCATTTATAATCTTATACATGGTGATATTGACTCCCCCGACTTGGTAAGTCGGCTAAACTTTTCTATGCCAAGTAGATTAACTGGAAAATATATTCCCCTAATATTAAATCATTGTAGATCTAACTATGCCTTGCATGAGCCTTTCAGAGTTTGTGTTCTGACTATAATAGATTGTTTCCTATAATCTCATGTCTTGACTCTTTGCCGGTCTTTAAACGATTAATACTAGCTTCATTGGCACACAATTGATCTTACTATTACTTTTTCCCCCGGACTTTTACCTATATTTCCCTATCTCGCGTCTATCTGCTCGCGAATCGTGCCGTACGATACACTGCGCCCCTCGGTCGGTTGGGCGGGTAAGTGGGCCGTGGGACTCCGCTCGAAAAAAAAGAGGGTATTATAATTTTGGTCAAAAGTGTGCGACGCAGTGAAGGAGACATCTCCGACCCTATAAAGTATATATTTTCTTGATCATGTCCGTCTTTCTGACCGTCTGTCTGCTTTTACGCGAACTAAAAATAAAATTGTTTTCGTTCAGAGTTCAAAAAACATTCATGCCCACAATTCAGATAATGTGGTTAACACTCCACTTTCTAGGCATTCAGAAAAGAAAACATGATTTATTGTAATCACGCCGTTTTCGGCACCATTAGCATTTACCATATAAAAAAATGTAAGCATAGACCTATCCACATGGAATCCGTTTATAGTTGTATTGCTTACAGATGGACATACTAATAGGGCTCTGTCTAATCTACCACTTGTCATCTCAGCCCATACACACTATTAAAAATAGGTTTCATTTCTTGTTGAAAGCCACCATGGTTTCTTACAATCTTTTTAAATGATTCAACACCTTTAAGTGTCTTTAGCATCTTTCTGTTTGCCTTACAACTACATCGTGATTGTTTAGATAAATAAAATCGCAATTCGCTTCGAGCTTAGCTGCCGATCTTATGTGCCAATCAAATGGCACTAGATCGGGGGCAAGAAATGATTTGGTTCCCTAAGTTGCTCGTCGCGATGTGGTGTCGTCCGAATACAAGAGGCGTATTTATTAAGCTGACTAAATAGTACTCGTATAGTTTTTTCTTTTCCTATAACATTATTGTGTGTACAGAAAACTGGTTAAAGCCAGAGTATCATAGAGGCTTGGTCGTCAGTTCAAACGGGGAGCTGGAGTTGATTGCTGCTGACTCAAACCTCTTGTCGAATTACTAACGATTTTAATCACATCGAATTTCTAGGCATAAAATTAAATACTGTGCGAAAACTCTGTGTAGACCTCTACACAAATTGTTTACCTTGTCTTTGAAAACATCTCATTTCCCACTTATTTGGAAGGAGTCATTTGTTATTCCCCTTCATAAGAAAGGAAATAAATCGAATATAGGTAATTACAGAGGCATATCCAAATTATCCGCCATCCCAAAGCTTTTCGAAAACGTTATTACACCCCACTTGCAACATCTTTGTGGATTTGTAATGCGAACGACGACAAACCTCTTGGACTAAGGTCTTTTGTAATAAATGGCTTCAGAAAGAACATGCAGACTGACGTAGTTTACACTGATTTCAGTAAAGCGTTTGATTCAGTAAATCACTCGCTTCTTGTATTAAAGCTAGATTTATTAGAGTTTCCACGTGATCTTCTGACATGGATCTTAAGTTATCTCAGTGGTTGGACTCAACGAGTCCTCTTTAAAAACTTAATCTTCCAACCTATTAAACCGTAGAACGATGCTTTGGCACAACTTATTCACGGGGATGTGGAGAGTCCGAAATTACTGGGTCGCATAAACTTATCCTTGCCTAATAGAATTACCAGGAACTATGTTCCTCTTTCTTTAAATATTTGTAGATCTAACTATGATATGCATGAACCGCTTAGAGTACTGTGTAACGACTAAAATAGACCATGTTATTTATACTACCGACTCTGTGTGTTCCACCAGTTTCTGGCCCGAGGGCATATTTGTAAAAGAGTACGAAGCTAAGAGAAAAAAGAATAGTTCAGGGAAAATGGAAAATACCATTAAAGAACCATCCCCAGCGCCCTCCACATCCTCTTCTGTCCCAAAAAACTAGCCTCCTCTTTTTTTCTTTGCTATCAGAATACAAGAGGCTTACTTAATAAGCTGACTAAATTGTATTCGGATAGTTTTTCTTTCCCATATAATATTATGGTATGTACAGAGACCTGGTTAAGGCCGGATATTCTTAGCTCCGAAATTCTCCAGGGTAAGTTCACAATTTACAGGCTTGATCGTCAGTCCAGACGGGGAGGTGGAGTCTTTATTGCTGTCGACTCCACCTTTTCGTCTGAATTACTAACTTTCGAAGAATTTTATGACATCGTATACCTACCTAGGTATAAAATTATCGTTTCCCGGTAGTTTTGTATATATTACCTACCTACCTATTTACTCAAATCACCTTTCCGCCCATTTCTAAATAAACTGTCAGATCGAGATCAGTTAATAGTATTGGGTGATTTTATACCTAGTGCGACATGGTACCCTGACGAAAACTCTAACATTTTACTTCCTTTAGCGCAGCATGCGCTATCCTTAGGACGTTTACTGGACTTGTGTTTTGTTTCAAATTTAGAAGGCGTTTGTATATTAAGAACATGACCACTTAAACAACCGGAGGATCCCGATCACCCAACTCTAGACCTGACTGCATATGCGAGAACAGAGCTGAATAAAAATCCGAAAAGTCTGTTAAACGAATTCGCTGCTTTATTATCCGGCTATAACTGGTCCGAACTTTATTCATGCACTAACATGGCTAAAGCCGTTAATATCTTTTTTAATGCATTGAACTCCTTCTTTTATTTGTGTGTTACGTTATACTTTCCGTCAAATTCAAATAAACCTCCATGGTTTAAAAAGGAGTTGTCACACCTAAAAAATATTAAGTCCAGACTTTTCAATAAATTTAATTTAATTTCAGTTCACAATCAGTCTTTTCTCGGTACCTAAGGGCTCGGTCAAATTTTACCGTGCTTAACGCCCGGTGTGATAAAAGCTATCTGACTCGTTGTAGGTTCCAATTTTCACAAGATCTAAAACAGTTTTATAATTTTGTTAACACATCGCTATCATTTTAAAATTCTACGGCAAATACTGATCAGGCAATTGCCGATCTATTGCCCAGTTTTTCCAGACAACACATTCTGTTTCATCCCGTCCAAATCAGTCTTATTAAAATGTCATATCCAGGTCGAACTTGATTTTTTGTCCGAGGTTAAGCGAAAAGCTCCCTTCTCTTGGAAATCCATAAAGTTAAACCAGTCTGTTAACCGGGCCCGGGCGGAGTTCCAGGCTGCGTGCTTAAATACTGTGCTAAAACTCTGTGTAGACCTCTACACAAATTGTTTACCTTGTCTTTGAAAACATCTCATTTCCCACTTATTTGGAATTTGTTATTCCCCTTCATAAGAAATTAAATAAATCGAAAATAAGTAATTACAGAGGCATATCCAAATTATCCGCCATCCCAAAGCTTTTCGAAAACGTTATTACACCCCACTTGCTACATCTTTGTAGATCAATTTTATCTCCATGTCAACGTGGATTTATAATGCGAAGATCTACGACGACAAACCTCTTGGAGCTAACGTCTTTTATAATAAATGGCTTCAGAAAGAACATGCAGACTGACGTAGTAAATCTGTAAATCACTCGCTTCTTGTATTAAAGCTAGATTTATTAGGGTTTTCATGTGATCTTCTAACATGGATCATAAGTTGTATATGTGGTAGGACTCAACGAGTCCTCTTTATAAACTTAATCTTCCAACCTATTAAACCGTAGAACGATGCTTTGGCACAACTTATTCACGGGGATGTGGAGAGTCCGAAATTACTGGGTCGCATAAACTTATCCTTGCCTAATAGAATTACCAGGAACTATGTTCCTCTTTCTTTAAATATTTGTAGATCTAACTATGATATGCATGAACCGCTTAGAGTACTGTGTAACGACTAAAATAGACCATGTTATTTATACTACCGACTCTGTGTGTTCCACCAGTTTCTGGCCCGAGGGCATATTTGTAAAAGAGTACGAAGCTAAGAGAAAAAAGAATAGTTCAGGGAAAATGGAAAATACCATTAAAGAACCATCCCCAGCGCCCTCCACATCCTCTTCTGTCCCAAAAAACTAGCCTCCTCTTTTTTCTTTGCTATCAGAATACAAGAGGCTTACTTAGTAAGCTGACTAAATTGTATTCGGATAGTTTTTCATTCCCATATAATATTATGGTATGTACAGAGACCTGGTTAAGGCCGGATATTCTTAGCTCCGAAAT